AATTGCTGAACCGGAGCAGACCGCTGCTGTTTTCTACGCCTCCAACGCGAACTGTCCATCCAACAGTTGCAACGGTTCCTGCAACAGTTCCCGCGGAGGCAGTTCTTCGCGCTATCAGCGCGGGGGTGGCCGATCCAACCGTCGCGGAGGTCGCAGCACCAACCGTCACCCCATGCAGCACTACGGCTACCATAGTGCTCATGGCGCATCTCAACTCTGGCGCGCACCTTACCGACAACCGTCAATTCTGGGATCCGCTCCAAATACATCGGGCCACCCATCCACTCCAGCGGCTCAAGCCTACTTTACTGGACCACCTGAACCCTACACCGGTCACTCGGCTCCTACTCAGGTTCATCCGCAACAGCAACCATGCCACAGCTCTAACAGTTCCATCAACAGTTGCAACAGTTCCTGCAACAGTGCCAATGTGGTGGATCTCGCAAACCGTTTGAATACGGTGACACTTCAGCAGCCTACCGAGTCACAGTGGTTCATGGACAGTGGGGCGACCTCTCATATGGCACCACACTCAGGTAATTTCAATATTGTTTTTAATCCTGGCAGTAATTTCCCCAAACATGTCGTCGTCGGTAATGGTTCCACCCTCCCCATAACCCACATAGGCCACACAATTCTTCCCACCACTCCTTTCTGCCTCACAAATGTCTATGTCACACCCAATATCGTCAAACACCTTATATCTGTTCGAAAGTTCACCCGCGATAACTCATGTTCGGTTGAATTTGACCCGTTTGGTTTTTCTGTGAAGGATCTTCGGAGTCGAGTCGAGATTTTCAGGTGCAATAGCTCCGGTGACCTATATCCATTTTGCGTCCCTCCCCCCACCTCACCTCCCGCTGCTTTCCTTACTGTCGCAACACCTTCGTCTTGCACTCTTTGGCATCGGCGTCTAGGCCATCCCGGCAAACACGTCATGTCCCGTTTATTTTCTAGCACTTTTCTTTCCCATAATAAAGACCCTAGGGAGTCTCTTTGTAATGCATGTCAATTAGGCAAACATTTTCGTCTACCATTTTTTTCTCAAAAATCTAGTACTGTTGCTCCATTTCAAATTATTCATGCTGATTTATGGACTTCTCCTGTTTCTAGTCTTACGGGTTTCAAATATTATCTTGTGTTAGTTGATGATTTTACCCATTATTTATGGACTTTTCCTCTTCGAAATAAATCTGACGTTTTTACAACCTTTGTCAATTTTCATACACTTCTCAAAACTCAATTCCAACATCCCCTGAAAGCCTTACAAAGTGATAATGGTCGTGAATTCAAAAATGCGGATTTTCAAACCTACTTCACTAAACAGGGCATCCTAAATCGTTTTTCGTGTCCCCACACCTCCCCTCAAAACGGACACGCAGAACGAATGATCCGCACTATAACTAACATGATTCGATCCCTCATTTTTCAAGCTCATCTTCCTCCTACTTATTGGGTCGAAGCCCTTCATATGGCCACACACCTACTCAATATCTTACCTACCAAAACCACACAAAACCGGACTCCTCACGAAGCTCTTTACCTCATCAAACCTACATACTCTCATCTTCGAGTATTCGGCTGTCTCTGTTATCCTAACCTCACCGCCACCACACCACATAAACTCGCCCCCCGTTCTACTCCTTGTGTCTATCTCGGTCACCCTTCCTCTCACAAAGGCTATCGTTGCCTTGATCGATCCACTGGCCGAATCATAATTTCTCGTCATGTTACCTTCGACGAAACTCACTTTCCTTTTGCTGAGTCCACTCCCCCCGAAAACACACTTCATACCTCTGTCTTGGACGAAAACACACCCTCCCTGTCCCTCCTCCCTCAGACTTCGTCTAACTGTTGCAACAGTTCCTCCAACTGTTCCAACAGTGAACCACCATGTTCCAACAGTCCGTCCAACAGTCCTATAACACAGCCAACACATGTTTCTCCTGCAGCACCACCTGTCGATCACGACCAGCTCACAACCTCTTCTCTTACGTCCACATCTCCTTCTCCTACTCCCATACCTCCCCCACCTCCCCCTGCTCACCCTATGGTGACTCGCAGTAAAGTGGGCATCCACAAACCCAAAGTCCCTTTCTCTCTCGTTGCATCCTCTACCTCTTCCATTCCCACCAACTATCGCCAAGCTCTTCTTGACCAAAACTGGCGAAACGCCATGATTGAGAAATATACTGCTTTAATTAAAAACAATACTTGGAATATTGTGCCCCGCCCCCCGTCCACTAATGTTATTTCTGGTAAATGGATATACAAACAGAAACTCAAGTCTGATGGCTCCCTTGAGCGATACAAAGCACGGTGGGTTGTTCGTGGGTTTCACCAGCAGGCTGGCATCGACTTTGACGAGACTTTCAGCCCAGTTGTCAAACCAGCCACTGTTCGAACAGTTCTCAGTATTGCTCTCTCACGATCATGGCCAATCCACCAGCTTGACGTGAGAAATGCCTTCTTACATGGCAATCTCTCTGAAACTGTCTACTGCGAGCAACCTCCCGGATTCGTCGATCCATCTCGCCCCACTCACGTGTGTCGTCTTAACAAAGCACTCTACGGTCTCAAGCAGGCACCACGTGCTTGGTACAAGCGTTTTGCATCTCACATTACCAGCATGGGGTTCAGAGAATGCAAGTCCGACACTTCACTCTTTGTGTACTGTCGCAACAGTTCCCGCGACTGTCACAGCAGTTCACGCGACTGTCGCAACAGTTCATGCGCCTACCTTCTGCTGTATGTCGATGACATTGTACTCACGGCCTCCACACCTGAATTGCTCCGCTCTATCATCGCTGCCCTTAATCAAGAGTTCGCAATGAAGGATCTTGGCGATCTTCACTACTTTCTCGGCATCTCAGTCACTCGCTCGTCGAATGGGCTATTTCTCTCTCAACGCAAGTACGCAGACGAGATACTAGAGCGTGCACACATGGCTTCCTGCAACCCTTGTCTTACGCCGGCTGACACAAAGAGCAAGTTGTCTTCGACCACTGGACCCCCCGTTGCTGACCCTACTCTTTATCGCAGCCTTGCCGGTGCACTGCAATACCTCACGTTTACTCGTCCTGACATCTGCTATGCTGTGCAACAAATATGTCTATTCATGCATGATCTGAGGGAACCTCATATGGCTGCTCTCAAGCGTATCCTTCGCTACATTCGGGGGACTCTCGATCGCGGCCTTCAGCTCTCCCCCAATCCGGACCTCTCCCTTATCGCCTACTCCGACGCCGATTGGGGTGGCTGCCCTGACACTCGTCGTTCGACATCGGGCTATTGTATTTTCCTCGGCAACAACCTCATCTCTTGGTCCTCCAAACGACAGGTCACTACTTCTCGATCGAGTGCGGATGCCAAATACCGAGCTGTCGCAAATGCCGTTGCCGAAACGACTTGGTTACGCAACCTACTTTCCGAGTTGCTCTGCCCACTTTCGAAAGCCACTATTGTCTACTGTGACAACGTTAGTGCCGTCTACCTATCCAGCAATCCTATTCAACACTCTCGTACGAAACATGTGGAGATCGATATACACTTTGTCCGAGACAAAGTTGCTTTGGGACACGTTCGAGTTCTTCACGTCCCATCCGCCTACCAGTTTGCTGATATCTTCACGAAAGGACTCCCTACTCAACTGTTCCAACAGTTTGTCTCCAGTCTCCACGTCCTCTCCTTTCCCGTGTCGACTGCAGGGGTGTATTAGCGTATATTATTATATATATTACGTATATTATTATTACTCTTATTTATTATAGTATGCAGGCTGCGTTGATTCAAGAAAATCAACCACTCGATTGTGAGGCACTTAGTTGGAAATCTCAACTTCAGAGAGTCATTGTATTGTCCACAACTGAAGCTGAATACATTGCTGCAAGTGAAGCTATAAAGGAGGGCATTTGGCTAAAATGATTTATGTAGGAACTGCAAGGAGTTGACACAAGTGTTACTGTTCGCTATGATAGCCAAAGTGTTTTACATCTCATGAGAAATACATCTTTCCATGAGAGATCAAAGCACATTGATATTAAAATGCATTTCATTAGAGATGTATTTGTTAATGGGAAGATTGAGGTCAAGAAAATTGGAACTGAAGATAATGCAGCTGATGCAATGACTAAAGTCTTACATGTGGATAAATTCAAGGGTTGTATGAATATGGTACAAGTTCATGGTGAACATGAACTGCATTCTCTTGGAAATTGAAGATGAGCATGGACAAACAACCTGAAGGAGATCAACTCAAACTCTGGACCAAGGTGGAGGTTGTTAGCTGTGGTCCAGACTTTGCAGCGTGGAGAATTGCTGAGCTGACTGACTAGAGAACAAGGAAGACGGGCATAAGATGATTGGAAGAAGGAGTCTATACTCAAGGAAAGACTTGGGAAGGAAGTTTCTTCTGGATTCGATCCATGCAGTATAAATAGGGTTCTCTTTGCATAAGAAACCCGAATATGAATTGAGAGAGAGAGAGGGCACAATTATAGAGACAGAAAGAAAAACTAACGTGGAATTTGAGGTGTTCTTCTTTGTATATAAGAGAGAACACAGTTAGGATTTTCTGGTTATGTTCTATCATATTGTGGCTTGGAATTATCTGTAATTATTCATCATTCTAGAGTTGCTTGGTGGATGTAGGTTCAAACTAAACCGAACCACGTTAAATCTTGAGTTCTTTATATTATTTTTCATTGCAGATTAAACACACACACTCGGTTTCTCAACACCAATAAAACATCCAAGTGGTTAGTATTCAATGCCTATAATAAGCAAACCTCTTTCCTATCAATCTTATATCCTTTCCCAAAATAGAAACCGTTGAAAAGAAAAAAAATGGTTGACTCTCCATATCTCATCCCTGTGTCTCCAAACAACTCCAGCAAATTCTTTATAATCAAAGCTAATTAACATTAAAAAAAAACAAAAAAAAAAGAGCCCTCTTTAATAATCTTACATTTTATACAATTCTCTTCGTGAGAAATTAAACCATGTCTTCCCTTCTTCTCTTAATGCTTCTGGCTCACGCCGCCACGTTAACGACAAGCACCGACGAGAATATCTCCGATTTGGACGGTACTAAAAGCGTATTCATACTCGCCGGACAAAGCAACATGGCCGGCCGAGGCAACGTTATTGACGGCAAGTGGGTCCCACTCGTGCCGCCAGAGTGCACACCCAGCCCTCTAATCCTACGCCTGACCGCCAGCCTCACGTGGGAGATGGCACGTGACCCTCTCCACAAGGACATAGATGTAAATAACGTTTGTGGAATCGGGCCTGGAATGCCCTTCGCTAATTCAGTTCTGAAAAAGGACCCGAGCATTGGAGTTATCGGTTTGGTGCCATGCGCCGTCGGAGGAACCACCATTGACCAGTGGAGCAAGGGCCAGAACCTCTACGATCAGCTTCTCAAGCGAGCTCAGGCAGCCGTGCGCGGCGGCGGTGGAGGAGGAGGAAAAATTCGGGGTCTTTTGTGGTTCCAAGGTGAGGAAGACGCGGAAACTGCCGAGGGTGCTCAAAGTTACAAAGAGAAATTGGATAAATTCTTCACCGACGTGCGATCGGATTTGCAATCGCCCGAGCTACCTGTGATCCAGGTATTATATACAGTAGAACCTCAATAAATTAATACTCCATAAATTAATTACCTCGCTTAAATAATAGCTTTTTTTGTCCCGACTCGGTAAAAACATACTAAATTATTAGTTCGATAAATATTTTAGCTAAATTAATAGAATTTTGCTAGTCCCGACTCTATTAATTTATAGAGGTTTAACTGTATATTACTAGTATTGAACCCGTACGATGCATTAGATCCGTTTAAAGATTAAAATGTCACATTATGAAACATAATCCAACTAAAAATATCGATAATTGAAATATAATACAATTGAAAATATACTGGAGAAAAAAAAAATAGCCGGGATCAATTTTACTTAACAATTGTCTAAATAAATATCATTATATCAACTCATATAACATTAATTATCATTATCTCAAATGTCGTAATGTATGAAATTTAATCATTAGTGCCAAAAAAAAAAAGGAAATTATTTTTGATATGCTATAATTTAATTTATTTAATTTAATTTGATTATTTGTGGTGTAGGTGGCTTTGGCATCAACAAAAGGAAATTATACAGAAGAAATAAGGAAAGTACAGTTGGGAATTGAGCTTCCAAATGTGAAATGTGTTGATGCAAAGGGACTGCCGCTCACCGGCGATAATTTGCATCTTAATACCGACGGCGAAATTCAGGTTGGCGGCTTGATGGCCGACGCCTTCCTCCAGCTTACCGGAGAAATTAATTAGTGCATTGATTACATATTTATGTATCTTGATCAGTATATATAATAGATTCATATAGATATATATATTTAAGAATTAGACCTAGTAAAAATGTTTTGGGAATGTTCTATAGAGACGCGTTTTTCGTACTTTTTCAACGATTGTAGTCTAACAGAAATGGCCTAATGAGAAATTCTGGAGCGTCCATGAGTTCTGTGTGTACGAACGAAACATTTCGACATACATATATATATGTGCATCTTCATATATATATATATATATATCTAAATTCTTCGATTCGAAAAAAAGAAACAAAAAAAAAAAAAAAAAAGAAGAAGAAGAATAGATTAGAAGGGAGAAATAAGGACTAGTTGTGAATTGGGTTGAAAACTCGATCCATTGCCTAAAAGACAAAAGTGTTGACGTGTGAATTTTGGAGAATCGAGTTTATTTAAGTCCCTAGAGGTGAATTCATTGTTTCAAACGCCTATCTTTCAAATTTTGGCGTAATCACCTCAATTCAAGAAAATTAGCCACATATATATACCCATATTACCTACCTCGGACCAAAGAGCCTAACAATTGAAAGCCACAAAGCCCCAATGATCCCAATAGCTTATTGTTCAATATTATTTGAGTAAAATAATTTGGTGAATATTTGGAGTCAAATATATGCATGTAAGTACAAATTCTTTCTATCTTTAACTTGCAAATATTGGATACTTGAAGCAATTGTATGATTTGTGGTTTTTGGTAATAGTGAGTGACTAAGTACCGTTGAATGTTAAGCTTGCGAATACCTAGGAATTATCATCATAAGTGCAAGTTCTGAAAACACGAAGTTGACCAATCGATCTATGTAATGAGATGTATTGTCGTGGTTTGTGTTCTTAATTTGATTTTACTTGAGGACAAGCAAAAGTTCAAGTTTGGGGGTGTGTTAAGTATATATTTTTATACTTTATTGTACCTTTTTATTTGAGCTTTTGGTGTGATTTAACGATAATTGGTGCTTAAAAAGTTGATTTATTGTATTTTAGGTATAAATTGAAGAATTGGAAAAGTTTGGGGTCAAAAATGCAAATTTGGAGAAAATATGGGCCAAAAGTGAAATAATCAAAAATATGCTGAAATTGGCTGAAAACAGGCCCGCACGGCCGTGCCAAAATTAGCCTATTTTTGGCACGGCCGTGCCAAATGCTGAATTTGGACAGAAGTTTTGGCGAATCTCGCGCGGCCGTGCGAGAATTGCACTGATTTTCGCGCGGCCGTGCCAACACCCGCGGGAGACAATTTTGGACTTTTAATCACACAAGGAAACCTAAAATCATGTACCAAGTTGGGACATCTATTTAAGCCCAAACCAAGCACGAATCAAAGGACTTTTGACACAACCTGGGAGCAAGAAGAGCGAGAGAACGAAGAATCGAAGATGGAGAATTGACAACTCTTCATCACAATTTTTCTTTTATCTATCTTTTCTTAATCTATTCTTTTTATGTTTTTATTATGTTTTTCGTAGAGAACATGCGTAGCTAAGTTTTTAATCTAGGATTTTGTTGGAACCCTATGTAGGGATTGCGAACCCTTTTTCTTGAGATTATGCAATTATGATTTTATGATTATTTCTTCTACTTGTTATGATTGTTAGTGCATGAACTTGATCAATTTATGTGCTTTATCTGTGATTATTGGGATTGACTCGACAGAGCTATTTTGATAATTAGACGGTAAGTAGAAGAACCTTCGAGTAGTTTTCACCGGATGAGTGTGTCAATTGCATGTGGTGTCGTAGACATACAGATATCACCTTAGGTAGCCATTTACGAGACTTGTTAGTTAATGCTTTATTCATAATTGGTTTGCATAGACATATAGTGAATCGTTTATGAATAATAGACTCATAATACACGCGACAGCGGGTTATGAGTAAATTAGTGTCTCGGGTTAATAATCATGAATCATATATTTCATAATTGAGGGGTTTTGGGTGAGCAATTCTTGCATAGGGGGAAGATAAAATCCTAGGTCCGTTTTAATTGATATTTTCCCGTGTTATTTGCTTTCTTAATTAGTTTAGTTGTTTAATTGATTTAATTTGACAAACTTGCGTAGGCTGGATAAAAATCATAATTGTTAGAATTTGGTACTTAGGATTAGGTAATTTGCGTATTCCCTGTGGGATCGACATCCGACTCTCACGAGTCCACTTATACTG